ATGTGTTGTCTTGTGTAGTTAGTGTGTAGTGTTGTGGATAGTTTTGTGTTGTGTGTCAGAACAATGAGGCGACTGCTGTCTCCAGGTAGAAACAGGAATGATAGATCTGCAGGTATCAGGCTGTGATCTTCTCCTTTATAGTGGACATACATTTTTGGAGTGGCACAAATAATTTGTGTGGCATCTTATTGAATGTAGAACAGCTGATTGTTATGTAAATAGTTAGAAATGGTTATAAAAAAAAGGGGTAAAAGGTAAATGGCTGCAAATAACTTTGTGGTTTGCAAAACTTGTGCATAGGATTTTAAAATTGACAATTTATATTTGCATTTAAAGTTATGAAATGTGATTCATTAAACATCTTTGTGGTTGTTACAGTAAAAAATATAAGTTTCTACTCTGATTTTTTATGGCAGCAGCTACTAAGTTTTAATATTACTCTTATTACTCTTTTTGTGTCACAAAATAAACTTTTAAGATATTTTCAGGCAAGAATGCAGCTGTGTAAACTTCAAATATCTTCTCGGTTTCTCAAGATATCACATATTTGCAAAAGTGCTCCGAAGTGCTCCTTGATAGCGAGCCGGGAGCTCGAGGGTCACTAGAGCCGTTGGGAACAGCGAACTCCCTGCACATCGTTTTCAGGCCCCACGCGGTCTTTCGCTACTCAGTGTTCCCCCTCTTGGTGTCCTCTGCCTTGTTTAGTTATGAACCAGTAGTTTTGCCCTTCTGCATTCGGTTGTGTCTGAAATAAGTCAAATCACCAAATACATTAATTATTGTGTCTCAATAAACAATGTTCAGGTCTTCCAAGCGATCTCTCTTTTTTTTTTTGAAGTGTATATAGTCTTGTCTCCCCTTTGACCTCCTGTTAGACTCTAATGTTGATTTCATTGCTGGGATCTCTAAAACCTGCTTTATGGAATTGCTTGTTTTTCTGTTTTGCCACAGATTTTTAGGTTGTGTTTTCTGAGGCAACCAAGAGCTCAATGCTGCCATCTACTGTATCTGCTGCTCATTAAAAACCTCATTAAAAGGAGAATAGTAACAAACTGACAAATTGATTCTAATATCACAGACAGAATACTCGTGCGGTTCGTGTTTTCTTAATGAAATGTATGACAAATATAAAACTGACAAACAGTTGTTGAATAAACATGATAAATTATCCCCCCGATTAAAACTGGTCACATTATAACTCATAAAACTGCACCGTAGACAGACGGACAGTTTCCAGGCGGTTTCTATGTACAGCAGGGGTAAATTATCTCTTACAAAGCAAAAACACTGATGTAAACAATAAGTCCGATACACACAGCACCGTGGATATATTTAAGCATGAAAATATTGAAGTCAAGCAAACTGTTTAACTATTACTGCACACATTTTCGTGGTACATGCTGGAAATGATTTAACATCATTTACTGACTGATACAAAAAGTGTATTCCAGACAACCTCTTCAAGATATTTTTCATTGCTTAGAGGAAACATTGTGCAACAACAGTATATATATAAACATAACTCATAGATCATAAAAAGCAATAAAAACAATAGAAAGTGTTGAAGAGAGAGTTCTGTGCTGTAAAACAGAGGTGCACATTGCACTTCAGACACATCACTTTTTTGTTTCTGTGCACACAGGAATCCTCATCTTTACTCTTGATTCAATTCACTTTGACTTTTATAGTCCAAGGGCGTAGATTTGGTTTTGGCATTGGTGGGGACGGATGATTCAACCACCAAACCCTGCCCTGTTTGTTCTTTTTTTCCCCTTTCTGTCTTTGCTTCTTGATAACAAAAGGAGAAATATACTTGCCTACATATGCTATTCTATATACTTTTAAACCATTTAAAATTACAATTCATAGTTTTGGTTACATGGTTACAGACGATCTTAGACTGAAGTGGGACAAAGAACATAGGAGTGGTATATAGTGTGTGTGTGTATATAGTGTGTGTGTATTACATATGGCTCCCTTAAAAAGTTCCCTTTATCACACAAGGGCAATGGAAAGAAGGAAAAAACATTTTTTTAACATTCAAAATGAAAACACAGCATGAAACCTGAAAAAAACCCTCTATATCTCCTTACACTCACATGTACTCTTTTATTTACAGTTTGTCATTTTAATTACACTTACAATGGCAGCTTCACACATCATCTGGTCCTGTGACCATGTGTCAGAACAGGATGCCCCACCGTACTACTAATACTGCTCGACAGTGACTCGAACATCTTATAGGACTGAAATTTGATACTTTTTCCAACACTCTGATTGGTTGTCTCAGTTCATTTCACATGTACTGGGCATGTTGTTGCCCAGCAGCAATGCTGTGCTGTAGAGAGTTAAGTTATAAATAACAGCTAATTCTTTTGATATATTATTATTCAATCCAGATGCTTAGGATACTTTCACATTCATTGTGTTTAAAGTCAGTGGCTCTAAGTGTGGATGTTGTGTATCGTACCACAGTGTGGTACAAAAGCACTTGACCTCTTTGTTGGCTTCTCCTCCTGTGAAAGAGGCAGGTCCGTATCTTCCTGATAGGCTTTAATAATCATCTTCACAGGGAAATAAAATCTAAGATCTCAGAACAGATCAGCACCAAAACACCATCACAAAATCACTGTGACTCAAACACTAAATACATTATTTTTCATTCATAAATCTGTTATATTCTTTAAATAAATGATCTCATTTTCTTAGCTTGTTGACTGTTGAGTAGAGCGGCTCCTCGGTCGGCGGGTACAGTTGGGTGTCACTCGAGTCAGTTCGACATTTGGGAAACTTCACAGTAGAATATTCACAGGCAGAGTAGCCGAGTCTGACTGTCTCAGCAGCAGCTTTATCGGAGTTTTGAAAGTTAATGGTAGCATAATGTGTTGAGGGCACAGGGTTTGGAGAGCTGACGGTGGCATAAATTGTGTTTGTTGCATTTTCTGAGTCTGGCAGCTGGAGGCGCTCCTGTATCTCATCATAGGTACAGTCCTTCACGGGAAGAATGAGAAATTATTATTTTTTTAAAGCAGTGTATTTGATTTCTTTACTGAAGTAATATGATCATTATTTTTGGTCATGTGAGAGAACTCTGACTACACAACTGCTGTGTGTGGAAATAACATTTACATGTCTGTTTATGGTGAAGTCTTTGCTTTCTTTAAATCCATAAACTTCATTTCACTTCTCAAATATCACGTTGTGTGTCTCGTGTATGATATATTTAACTGACATTTTTTATTGTAACAACCATCGATTTATACAGGAAAACAATGACTATTAACAAGGTTGGCCAAACTTTTGCATCCCACTGTAGATTTCGGGACATGTATTCTGTAATCTGTAGTGGAATACATTTTAAAAGTAACCTTCTCAACACTGGCTATGCTGAGTTGGTTATGTCTAAGGTAAGACAGCAAACTAAAAACTAATGACCATGAGCTGTGATTGCAGATGAATGAACGAGATTAAAACTGTTCCTGATCAGTGACATGCTGCCAACAGCGCCTCCTTCATGTGAACATGCTGACACCTAGACTGGGAAAGTGAAGCCAGATAAAGAAAAGAGATCCTGTGCACGGTGAACTTTGGATGAACACACTGGGAAGAAAACGAGGTTTTGATCCTGCAGAAGTGCTGCAAAGTAAAACTACACCGCACACCAGCAAGACAAAAAAAAGCAACCGTTCCACACAAACCTCTTTGGTACGACATGCTGCTGCACCATTTCCTGTGTTTTTTGAACGTGAAAATCCTGTTAAACAGAAAACAAAGACAGCAAAACATAAACGAGCAGTTTATGTTTTGGATTTAAGTGGACATTTACAAAGATTATCAGCTTTAATGAAGTAATGTCTGGATACTTTTGCTGCTGTGTTTTTAGACAGTGTGAGATAAGGAAGTACATGAATGTGGTTTGTGGGTACAAATTAGCATATCTAGTAATGTTGTGCAAACAAACAGTAACTTACGTTTATAGATTAGGATCATCAGTATCACAAAAAGCAGCACAGCCACACAGACGATCACAGAAATGATGGCCTCAGAGACGCCTCACAAATAAAACGGAAACATATTCAGCATCAGTTAAAAAGAAAACGTTTGTGACGCACACATTTCTATGCTGAGGAATTTAAAGTGAATTTTACTTAAATGAAAAAGTAAAAAGTAAAACAAACTAAAAGTCCTCTCTCACCACGTCTCCCAGCAGCTGCAGCTGTAGTCATTGCTGTAGTCGTCGCTGTAGTCGTCGCTGTAGTTGATGAAATGGTAGACGTGGATGTTGTTGGTGATCCTGAAAGAAAAATGAAGGTCAAGGAAGTTGTAATTATGAAAATGTTTGAAATTTTTATTGATTTTTATTTTAGTTAGTTTGATAAATAAGACAAAATGTGTCAGTTTAAAGGTTTATTTTCTTCTTTTTCCTTCTGTTAAAACAAGGACCTTAATAATACATTTTAATCCCAAATTTGTGTCAGTAGTTTTTAAAATTGACCTGATCTAACTTTTACCTATGGTTTATTGTCACAGAGACGAAAACACACAATTAATGCAGCAGAAATTAACTGCATGAAAAAAAAACTGATTAATGCTGCATTTATTTGAATTTAGGATCCTGCTAATGTTCATAGCTTGACATCACACTTTCATAGCTCATTGGGACACTTAGAACCGTTGATAATGATTCTTGATGATTGATCTTAATGATTCTTCACACTTGTGTAAATGTCTATCTATCCTTTAAACCCTGATCTTGAAGCTGGAACTACAGATTTTTAGCTTTGGTTGATAATTTTCAGACATCACACACCACAACTCAAAGGGAGGAGCAGGAAATGAAAACAAATGCAGCAGCATTGCTGTAGGTACTCTGTATGCTTGGTAGTCTGTTTTAGAGTAATGGGACTGACTTCTAAAAGTGGCTGATGAAACCATACAGAGCCAGTTAAACTGATTCTTTCGCAGCATATACAGGACTCACTGCAGGTCTCACAGGTCTGCAATCAGAGCAGACTGAAAGTTGTGGAAGCACACAGATTTAAGATTCTGTGTAGTTATTTTAAAGTTAATGTTAAATCATTTTAGTTGTACAATCTCAGTCCTTAATGACACTAAAGGTTATCAGCTGAACACGCCCACATTACTGTCTTAAAGCTGTTTCTGTATCAAACCACTTCCTCTCATGTAACGTTTTCCTGGTTTGCTTCTTTACATAAAATTAAAGGGTTTATTGAGTTTTTATTATCAGATATCAGAAGTCTTCACTTTAGAAGACTTTTTATTGGCTGAAATTTAACAGGACAAACGTATGTTGTTATTATAGATAAAGTTTATGTGAATTATTACTGCTCTGTAATATCCTGTACATTGTGAACATGTCAGATAACACCCACAGAATAAAACAGCGTGACTCACCTACAGTCAGGATCAGTCTGTTGCAGATTTGTTGGTTGTTGTTTTTTGCTCGACACCAGTATGTCCCGCTGTCATCTGCTGTTACATTTCTTATTGTAACAGTAATATTTCTCTTGTCTTCATCATTTATGTAAAACTTCTTGTTCTTATCAGGCTCATTGGTCGTTACTAGAGTTTGACATATAGATGGATCGTCTCCCTTACAGATTGATTTTGAAGGTGAGGCCCTCTCTTTGCATTTACACCAGTATGAGAAGTTCTGACCAGCAGTTGGTGATCTTGTGAAATTAGTAATATCTGTAGAAAACAGAAGAAAGCAAGTACTTGAAAACACTGTATTTAGGCATGCCTTAATATAAAATAGAAACTGCAACTGAGAGGGATGTGTCCTCTCGCCACTGCTCTACTCCCTCTACACTTCAGACTGTGTGGCCACCCATGGCTCCAACACCATTGTGAAGTTTGCTGACGACACAGTGGTGTTGGGTGCCATCTCCAACAACGATGAGGCCGCTTCAGGACACATACACCAGAAAATGCCGGACTAGAGCAGCGCAGATACTGAAGGACCCGTCCCATCCTGGCAACAAACTGTTCCAACTTCTGCAATCTGGTAGAAGGTT